TAAAATAATCAGGTTTGACTAAAAATAGATTTTTATATAATATCATATAAAAATGACGCACTCTTCCAAAATACTTTTCTCTTTGATTTTTCTTAAAATCACTTCTTTGCTAAAATCTGAAACTTCTCTTGAAATATCTCTTAGTAACTCTTCTTTTTAAACTTAAAAAAAAATCACTTCTCTAACTTCCTAGTAATTTAGAAGGGCGGTGCTTAACCTTTCAGTAGAGCCCGGTGGACCGTGGTTATGAACGGCCACCCTGAACAAGTGTCGGTGCCACAACTGCTCTGTTGGAAACGAAACGACTACCTTAAGTGTGCACCCCCCCTAAAAGGGATTCCAATCCCTCCGAGTAGTAAGTCATCCCGAGTGGTCGGAACCCAACCACCCCAATTCTAAAATTCTTGAATGATTAGGGACTACTACTATAACTTTTTCTTAAAAGGGATCATAGATCCAAATCTTACTTAAAAGGTATCATAGATCCAAATCTTACTTAAAAGGGATCATAGATCCAAATCTCACTTGAAACTTAAACTGTACTTCTTAGTAGTAGTAGCTCTAATCACCCTCCACATTTATCCGGATGTGGAAAACCGACACCTCGGATTACTCCCGAGATGCTCACTTCTTATGAAAATGTAAATTTTATCTTCGCTTAGCAATACTTCAAAAATACTTCTTAATTTCTCTAAAAAAAAAAGTCTCGAAGGTATTTAATATATTTAATACCCCAAAAATTACTTAATTTATATTTCTCAACTACCATATATATAATATCTCCTCAAAATCACATACACATAATTCAAAATTCACACTTAATCACATAATGCATAATAAGCATATAATATGAGGAAACAAATTTTGGATTAGCAGAGAAACTTACCTCAAGATTGATGACGCTCCTACTTAGTTTGCGTCTTCTAGTCCGGTCTCTAACTAGTCACCTTTTTTTATTAAGATGATATAATTAGTCACTTAATTTATTCTTAATAATTTTATCCGATTTTCCCCCTCTTGTAATTGTTAATATATTAATTATCACCCTTTTTTCTTAATCTAAAATTTTATTGTGTTCGCTATTTTAATTGTAAATCTGATGTTCGAATACCTAATTACTTTAATTTACTAATCGCCACTAACTTAATTTAGTCTAAAAGTGGAGTCATATTTTAATTTAACTGCTCCAGTTCACTTTAATTTTAAAAAGGTAATCAAAATACTTTATATAAAAAAATTAAACAGTCCGGTAATCAATTTAAAAATTCCCTCTTTGCATTAAACAAACTACATTATTATCCCAATTAAAAGGTTACAATTTAACTAAAAGTGATTATTGTCAATTTATATTTTACTAATATTCTAACTCAATTAATATTATTCTTAATCCTATTATTACTTATTAAAAATAAACCAGCCCAGCAGCTCATTAAAACAACCAGGCCCAATTATTTAAAATAAAACAAAAGAAAAGTGTAGATACTACGCACGTCTTCTTTAGCGGTGCCGGCAGTAAAAAACAAGAACGAAGACAGAGCCCGGCTCTGAAATCTTTTCCCGACCGCGACAGACGCTCTGGCAAGGCGGCGAAGACACAGCGATGGCGTTTGTGGTTCGGTGGCAGCAACTTCGGCAGCAGCATCTTGGTTTGGCGGTGACGACTTAGCTCCGGCATAAACCAGCCCGGCCACCTCGCAGCAGACCCACGGTGTAAAAAAAAACAGACCGGCAGCAAAGCTATCGTGCTCAGGCGCTACGGCGATACGACGTACTCCTTCTCTGCGTCGTATCCATAGTTCCTTCGTTCGTACGGGCCTTGTTGAGGTTAACAGCAAACAATCTTGTGGGCTGGCCGTAGCGGTAGAAGTTCTCTCGTTTTTTTTGTCAAAAACAGTCCGGCGAGCTTACCGGCAACGAGTTCCTATACTTCGGCGTAGGACGCAATCGGCACTACGTCCTTCCTCCTCCGGTTCTAGCGACGGTCCGGCACACAGCCTTGACAAATTCTTCTTCCTCCGGCAACTCCGGCAAACCTCCCTGACGTTTTCTCTCTTTCTATCTATTCTGTCTATATTCTATTTTTCTTTTCTTTCTCATAGCAGCTTTTGTGTTGGTATGCACATTAACCTATCCGAAACTTGTGTAACTACGCGGCTGATGCTTAGGTTTAGGTTTCGTATCGTGTATATATTTATATAAGCATCAATCTGGGCTTAGGGTTTGGTCTTAAGAAGTATTAGAACAGATCGTAGATAAAATATTGGATCCTAAAGTTTCGCTTATATGATTTATCCGGTTACTTTGAGCGTTAAATACGTCTCCTTCGACATTATCTCACGTTTCCTAAGCTTGTACCGTGATCAATGTACTGCAGTGTGTTCGAAGTACTGCTGCGAGTACGTAGCAGTATTATTGTTATTTATATTATTAAATTAGGTTATACATAAATGTACAATTATTAGTTCGTATAAATTTTATTTTTATATTAGTTTTATATATATGCAAGTACGGTGTTCACATATCGGCATGGCATCAGCTTTGAAAAGTCAACTATTTAACATTTCTTTATGTAGTACTAATATTAGAATTTATTAAAATGTCACTTTTAATTATTTGTCATAAGCATAATTATTACGTCTTATACAAAACATCATTTTTGTAATACTCATAAAAATGTTATTCATTTTATTGAAATATTTTTATCTGCCTAAAAAAAGTCATAAATGTAAAAGTTTTATCTGATTAGAATGTTACAACTGTTGAAATTTTATCTGATTCACTTAATAAAAATCTCACCTTTTATAATATTTTATTTTACAAATAAACTATTTATTTTATTTAATTTTTTTTTTCCGGAGTGTCACATTCTACCCTCCTTAAAAGATGTTTCGTCCCGAAACATAAACTAAAGTCCAATGACAAAATTCTAAAGTATTACATTCTATCTCCCTTAAAAGAATGCTTCGTCCCCGAAGCATAACTCTAAAATTTTCTTAGGAGTATTCCTATTCAATTTTCTACTCAATCACATACATAGGAGCAAATATGCACATGTGCCCTACAATTCTTCTCACTAGTACTAATCAAGTCTTTTGAGCAACATAACTCCAATACGTCTATCTTAATTAGGCAACAATCAAAGTTCACATGATTTCGCATAATTCTTATGTCATCAAAATTAGTCCAACATAAATCATAACAAATTAGGCATCCCACCATCTCACCGCGATCCTAAACCTTAAACTTTATTCCTAATCAGGTTTGACTAAAAATAGATTTTTATATAATATCATATAAAAATGACGCACTCTTCCAAAATACTTTTCTCTTTGATTTTTCTTAAAATCACTTCTTTGCTAAAATCTGAAACTTCTCTTGAAAAATCTCTTAGTAACTCTTCTTTTTAAACTTAAAAAAAAAATCACTTCTTCTCTAACTTCCTAGTAATTTAGAAGGGCGGTGCTTAACCTTTCGGTAGAGCCCGGTGGACCGTGGTTACGGACGGCCACCCCGAACAAGTGCCGGTACCACAACTGCTCTGTTGGAAACGAAACGACTACCTTAAGTGTGCACACCCCCTAAAAGGGATTCCAAGCCCTCCGAGTAGTAAGTCATCCCGAGTGGTCGGAACCCAACCACCCCAATTCTAAAATTCTTTAATGATTAGGGACTACTACTATAACTTCTTCTTAAAAGGGATCATTGATCCAAATCTTACTTAAAAGGGATCATAGATCCAAATCTTACTTAAAAGGGATCATAGATCCAAATCTCACTTGAAACTTAAACTGTACTTCTTAGTAGTAGTAGCTCTAATCACCCTCCACATTTATCCGGATGTGGAAAACCGACACCTCGGATTACTCCCGAGATGCTCACTTCTTATGAAAATGTAAATTTTATCTTCGCTTAGCAATACTTCAAAAATACTTCTTAATTTCTCTAAAAAAAAAGTCTCGAAGGTATTTAAAATATTTAATACCCCAAAAAGTACTTAATTTATATTTCTCAACTACCATATATATAATATCTCCTCAAAATCACATACACATAATTCAAAATTCACACTTAATCACATAATGCATAATAAGCATATAATACGAGGAAACAAATTTTGGATAGGCAGAGAAACTTACCTCAAGATTGATGACGCTCCTACTTAGTTTGCGTCTTCTAGTCCAGTCTCTAACTAGTCACCTTTTTTATTAAGATGATATAATTAGTCACTTAATTTATTCTTAATAATTTTATCCGATTTTCCCCCTCTTGTAATTGTTAATACACTACAAGAAAAATGCTAGATTGCAATGCACATTTCCATTGCAAAATGTTCAATTTCCGTTGCAATTTGTGTTTTGCAACAACAAATGCAATGGACAAAATTCGGTTGCTATACACGTCGTTGCAATTATTTGCAACGCTGATTCAATCCGTTGCAATTATATGCAACGATAAAAGCAACACATGTATTTCCGTTGTGTTTTATTTGCAACAATCTTATTTTAGTTGCAATTTCAATTGCATTGTTTGCAACAAATCATATACCTTGTTGCAAGTTACGTTGCAAAGTTGCAATGGGTTTAACAATAGTTAAGTTTATTTTGCGTTGCGTTTTTCGTTGCAAAAGTGCAATGAAATGAACTTTTGTTGCAATGTTAATGACCGAATTGCAATAAATGGTCATTGCAAATTTCTATTGCACATATTTTGTAAAAACAATCACAACATACATTTTTTGCGGGCAACATAAATTAATATTCTTAAACCATACAACAGTACAACTATGTCATAACAACAATGAATATCATTAATATTGTCTCAAATAATAAAAAAATTTCTAAACTATAAAGAATAGGCTCTTTGACCTTCTAGTAACAATAGTAATGTCTCAAATAATGAATACGTCTTTAAGAATACTACTAATCAAATAACTAATTAAAACCGACTATCATCTTAAAAAGAACTCTATCTATTACGAACTAAAGTTTCAATTTGTTCTTGTAAAGCACGGATGACATCATCCGTTTTCTGTTGCTTTTGTTCCGCTTGTTGTTGAAATTCCTTCTGTTGTTCCACAGTTTTTTGCAAACGTTCCACCTCAGCTTTCAAATGATTAACTTCAGCACTAGTAGATTGTGATGATGAAGTGTCCATTTCAGAAGAATACTCTGAAGCTTTACTATGAATATTTTGTGTACCATATGAGCCAACTCCATACAATCTGTTCTTTGAGTCAGGTCCACCAACAACATCATAGAACAGCTCATCATCATCCACTTCCTCACCAATATCAATTAGCTCCTCACGACGTGAAACAAATTCCTCCTATAATATTTTATTGAATTAATATAAGAGCATCGCAAATTATTTAAAAAATTAATAAAATTTCAAAAATACTTACATTCACTTCTTTAGCCTGATCATTTATAAAAGTCTCTCCATCGTGATTCTTTGTATGTGTATACACAAAAACCTGATAACTTGTCACTGTAGTTTGGGAGTTCTTTTCCTACATAATAATAATTATTAACGTACAATGTTAGAATAATCAAACAATAAATATCATATGCATCACAATATTGGACATGTTGAATGAATAAAATATATTCAAATCACATATTCTATTAAAATGCATACTCAAGGCATATATAGTTTAAATAAACTTACAATTTCACTAGCAACTTTGGCATGAGATATGGCCCCACTAGTATGAGTAGAGGGGGCAGGCTTCTCTAATTCACCTTGACGCCTATTTTTTTTGCTTTGGTTAGATTTCTTCTGATATTCTTCACTACTCCACATACTCATCCAACTGTCCCAAACTTCTTGAGTGATTGATGAATTCCTCTCACACCTTCCTGTTCTCATATTACTGAGATAATTGGAATATCTTTGTTTAGCTTTTGAAGTCCACGCTGCCTTTTCGATCCTTCAACTTTAGCTTTATTTTTCACATCCTTTTTCAACTCATGCAGATATCTAAAAAGAAATTAACATCTTAGCTATTAAAATAGAATGGGGAATTAATGTTTTTATCAAGCATCATAAATTTTACCTTTCGAAACGATACATCCATCGGTATTGTGCTGGGCCACCGATCTTAGCTTCATAAGGCAAATGCACGGGTAGATGCTCCATCGGGTTAAAAAACCCAGGCATAAGTAGACTCTCCAGCTTACAAAGAATTAGTGGAATTTCGGCTTCTAATCTAGCCATGTCATCAACTTTAATTGTTGTTGCAGTTAAGTTCTTGAAGAAAAGACTGAGCTCAGTTAGTGCTTCCCATACCTTAACTGGCAACATCTCTCGAAAAGCAATTGGCATTAGCCTTTGCATAAAAACATGACAATCATGACTCTTCATGCCGAACCATTGGCTTTCCTACTAGATTTGTTCATTGGATTATGGAATGTGTTTCCACTTCTTCATATTCTATTTCCATTAATGGGATACTACATGGACATATCAAAGGTAAGAGGGGGCTCCGGCAAGGTGACCCTATGTCACCCCTCCTCTTTGTTATTTGCCTTGAATATTTCTCTAGATTGCTTCATATGAGAACTAAAGTCTCTTCTTTTAAGTTCCACCCAAAGTGTGGTAAACTCAATATCTCCCATGTTGCTTATGCTGATGATCTCATGCTCTTTTCTAGAGGGGATTACCCCTCTATTAAAGTCCTCATTGATGCTCTTGAGGAGTTTGGGACTGTCTCCGGTCTCAAGGTTAATTTTGAGAAGTCTAACATCTATCTTGGGGGTCTTGCTGATTATGACCTTGCCCATATCCTTGACTTAATTGATTTCAAAGAGGGGACTTTCCCTGTTAGATATCTGGGCATTCCCTTAGCACCTCTTAAGATTGCGGTGGCACAATATGCTCCTCTTTTGGAGTCTATTACCAACTTCATTACTGCTTGGAACACCAAGTCCCTTTCCTATGCCGGGAGAGTTGAGCTTATTAAATCTGTGATACAAGGTGTTCACTCTTTTTGGCTCCAAGCTCTCCCTATCCCTAAGGCTGTTTTGGACAGAATCACCTCTATGTGCCGTATTTTCCTTTGGGGGTGCAAATTTGCTAGAGTGGCATGGGCTGATGTTTGCCTTCCTAAAGAGGAAGGTGGGCTAGGCATACATGACACCCATGTTTGGAACTCGGCCCTTTTAGCTAAGACCCTTTGGGATATCCATATTAAAAAGGATAACCTTTGGGTTAGATGGATTCATGGTGTTTATCTTAATGGTAGAGGTGTTTGGGAGTTTACACCTCACAAAAGAGACTCCCAACTGATTAAAAAGATTGCCCGGATTCGTGACCAAGTTTTGAGCCACTTTGATAACATTCATGATGCGGTTACTTTTCTTCAAGGTTGCCAAAACAATGGCAAGCTGTCCTCGGCTAAAGTCTATAATCTCCTTAGAATGAAGGGGGGTACTCATATGTGGATGTCTTTCATTTGGAAGAACTATATCCCCCCTAAGTTCTCCTTCACGGTTTGGTTGGCTTTCCGGAACCGGCTTGCCACTTTTGACAATCTTCATAGGTTGGATGTGGTTAATATTTGCCCTTTGTGTAAGGGTGGTCCGGAAACGGTACCACACCTCTTTTTTGTTTGTTCTTTTGCAGGAAAGGTTTGGCATAAAGTGAAGACTTGGCTGGATTTTCCATGGGAGATGGGAACCTTACAAAGTGCCATGAAGTGGATAAAGAGGAAGAGGCAAGGAGCAGGTGTAAAGGCTAAAGCGGCTAGGATTGCTTTCTGCTACTCCATCTATTGGATTTGGAGAACTCGGAATGCTACTTGTTTTGACGGCCTTGTTCCAAGAGAAGATGATGTTTTTGCCAAGATTCAGCATATGGTTTACAAGCTCATTTATAAGCTTTATCCTTATGAACTTGTCCATTTTTGATGTTGCTTTTTTGACCATCACGTTTTGGTGATTGGAACTTGTATGAGGCAGGTTTTGTTGGTTTTTGGGGCTTCACCCCTCTATTTTTGGGGTGCTGGCCGTGGCCTTTTGTTCTGCTTGGGAAAGGTTATCCTTGTTGGATAACCTTGCTTTTTTGTTCTTTACCTGTACATTCTTCCACCCCCCTTTTCTTTGGGTGTGTTTAATATACTTACAGTTCACCCAAAAAGGTGTACCATAAAGCAAATGTTGTCGTTGACCATTAATAAACCCTTATTTAAGTGACTCATACTTTTAGCACTTTTAAGCCTTGATGATGCGTTTTCCATTGTGGCGAGGCATAAGCCTCCATCAAATATGAAAAACAAGTCACAACAAAGTGTCATAAACCAGATTGCCGAGCTTGTTGGAATTGTTTGATTTTTGTTTCTAGCAGTTGAAACTGTTTTTAAATTTTGAAAAATAAAGAGGTCAGAAATATTTTGAACTTCAATTTTTTTAAACGCTGCTTGAGGCTTGGAGCCTTTGTTCAAAAAATTAGAGAAGAAGGGGATAATGTTGTTCGAAAAATGTTGGAAAGAAGATGTGCTGAAGAAATCAGTCACAGCTCTGAACTCCAGCATGTCCTGGGCAGATTGTGTTGGAGTAAACTTCACGTCCAAATCCAACGCAAAGTCCTGGGCAGCATGTGCTGAAGGAATCGCGAACAAAGTCTTCCTCAGCTTCGCAAACTTCACGTCCAAATCCAACGCGATCGAGAGGAGAAGCTTTCTGTTCGCAGAAGTCATCGCAAACGGTTTCAGCTTGGTCGCGAACAGTAGCTTCCGGTTTTCAGCTGTCGTCTCAGTCACAAGCACCTTCTACAAGTTCGCCAACTGCGCTGCGAGCAGAGTTCACGAGATCACAAGTTTCATCGTTCTCAGCTTTGCCTGCTTCGCAGCGAACAGATCTCCCTTGTTCGCATGTTTCACTTCAGATTTCCGCGTTTCACTGTTCGCAAGTTGAGTCAGTTTCACTTCCGCAGCAGTCTGTGAGTCAGGGACAACCTTCATATGAAGAAACTTTCACCAATGGTGACGAGAAACGAGAGGAGAATTTTTCTATGGTGACTCAATCCTCTATTTCTAAGGAATATGAATCTGCCGTTGATTAAATTGCTGGTTATGAATTGGAGAACCAAGTGATTCCTCAAAACTTTATAGGTACTGAGTATACAGAGTCACATACTAGTATTGGAGACCCTATTACATCTGTAGCTACTTTCACAAACCTTGCTTGGCAGAAAATCAATACTGACACTGGACAAGTAGATGATTCTCAAGATACTTCGTATACTGCTGCTATTAAGGAAATTAATAGCAAAGCACGAGATGCAGCATTCATCGGTATCCTAGAAAATGGAATACAAGTAGATATTAAACATGATGCTGCCACAATGCAGTGGTCAGTAGATGATTCTGTAATATCTCATGAAGATGGACTATTAGAGAACCTTGTGAGAACCAATTCTTTAGAATTTGGTGTATGGACTGCACAAATAGAGGAAACGCAGAAGGTAGGAGAGAAAAACATTATGAAGATGTGTGCATTTTTTGTTTACTGGAAGAATGATGCAGACCACGGTGATCCAGATTCCAGCTCTCTTTCAAAAGATGTCTGGTGTGGAGGGGTAACTATTACTCAGGGATCAAAAGACATGATACATTCAGGGAAAAAGATGGATAACAGCAGAACAGTTTGTGTTAAGGTCCCACCTTGGATTGTTATTAATCAGCATGGGATGAATGGGGACACCGGACACCCATGCCATATCTCCAGGAGGATCTTCAGCGGGGGAAACAGATAAAGATTTCTTATTCATTGGTGCTGATCTTACCGTCGATGTGGATTTAAGGCACAACCAATCATCTATTGTTGGTTTGATTCTCCCCTCATGTCCATTTGGGAATAGTTACAGAATTGATGAAGAAAATGGATTTTTCAACCTCTGTGATATTATAGAAGATAAAATTGTTCCTGTCAGAGGTCAACAGCATCGGCAAGCAAAGGAAATGCTTTTAGAAAATTTATGGGAGTTCATGTTGACAATGTGGGGCAGTAAGGAAAGGGTAAAGTTAAAATTGCATAACTTGGGGGAGTTAGCATACTATGTCATTACTTTTCGGCAGATGACAGAGCAGCAGGTCCACACAGGGTTGAAGGATGCTAAAATTTTGAGTCTTCTTAGTCACAAGTTCCTGGAAATCATCAAAGACATGAACACACTCATTACAGGGGATGGGGATTTGTTTCTGGAAAGAAGGTTTGCAGCAATATCAAAACAGTTAACTGCTGTAAATAGAGACGTCCAGCACAATAACTCAAGTCCACTTGAACTCTCTTTTGACATGAGGGCGGATGAAGTTCTGTATGACCTTTTCTGTGAGAAGCTTCATTCAAGTGATACGTGGAAAGCTGTGATACATGCAATACTGAGGAAGGACCAGGGCTTTCCATCTAGTGGACTAAGAGTGCAGATACTGAAGCTCATGGTACCGCAATCAGTGAGAAAAGAATTAAAAGAGGAAGAAGTTGAAAGGCACATAAAGGAGTTTGCATCCAATACAGTAGTAGTTTCAGAGATTGGAAACTATGAGGAGCTGCAGAAAAGTGAAGAAATATTTTTTACTATCAAGTACTGGAAAGAGACTGAATTGAATGAATCGTCACTGCTGATTTCTTCTGCTACTGAAACTTCTACATGAACCACTCTTCTCAAAAATACTTCAAACTATTAAACAATCTTTGTAAAAATCATAAGAGAAACAAAATATTCATTAAAGATAATAAGACAGAAGCAAGAAATATATGTTTAAAGGCATAATTGCCAAAAGTCAAGTCACAAAACTCAATCTTAAAACTTGAAAACCTAATTAAAATGAGCTTCCTGCGTAGGACTTTAGTAACTGTTTGTTGTATTTCTTTCCTCTCTATGCACTTGTAACTTTTGGCTTGGAAAACTCAAAAAGGAACGGGA